CTCCTACGCCGGAATTTCTTTTTTTTCATTTTTGCTGTTAAAAAAGGATGGACCATAACAAGCAGCAGCCACACCACGGCGGGGGCGGGGGGGGGGGGAATTCTGGGAGTTGAAGTCCACTCATCTTAAAGCGGCCAAGTTTGGACAACATTGCTCTTGGGGCACAGAAATTGGTTGGTGCAGACTCCGGGCTAACTGATCCACAGTAAAGTGGTCTTGCTCCCCCATTGTAGGAGGAGAGCTGGGTTAGTCTGTGGCAGCCAGAAATCAGGCAGCACCTTTTCTGACAAACCGCTTCTATTAAAAGACAGAAGCTGCAACTCTCAAAAACCTCTGGCTTTTAATAAAATTGGTTAGTTGGAAAAGGTGCTACCTGATTCCTGATTGGTGGTTTCTCCATACATTCAAGAACATTGAACCTATTCTCTTCGCTGAGCATCATCATCATCATCATATCTCAGCCCAAGTGCAGAAATAAAACAGCTTACGCATCTGAGTAAGAACCTGGTGTTGTGCAGGTTCAGAGTTTAGAATGAACACGTGCAGACTCAGGATATGCCAGCCAGATTAAAACTTGAGAGTCAAATCTTGCTGGTGTAATAAAATGGAAGTGATTTTATTGTACGGAAGCAGTTAACCAATGAAAGAAAGACCATTGGGCCGGATGAGCCATTTCATCAATTGTTCAAAGACACTTGAGTGAGAACAAGGGTATAATGCGATTGCTTTGCTTATTTTGTGCTCAGACTGGTCTGATAAAAAACAAAATCGCCTCGCCTGTAATAAGAGCTTGTGGTTTTGTGTTTTGTTTGGCACACTTCTGGTCCCTATTTATTTTCCTTCTGACCTGATAATTGCAGGCATTTCCTCTCCCTTCTTCCAACAGCCCAATCAACTCAGTGCCTCTTCGTGTGTTTCTCTGCTCGGATCTGGCCAGCTGCTTTGGCCCGCTCAGATGAAGCAAACAAGGACATTGGAATACAACTCCTGGGCTTTACTCAGCACGAGCTGCTCTTGAGAAGAGACTCAGCTTTCTCCATCATGCTGTGGTGGACAGTGTGTGGCTTTCCCAAAATGCAACGCCGGCTTTCCTTTCCACTGGCCACCTATGCGAGCCACTTCGTCTCTACAACAAGGGGAACAAGAGCGTGCCGATGTCTGGCTCCTGCTTGCAGGACCGTCGGTCTGTGCCAGCCTCCTGCTCCCTAAGCTCTGGTGAAGAAACAGCAGCAGCTTAAACCGTGCCTTGCAAGATTGTCCAAATGGACCAATAGCAAAACTTGTTATGCTGAAGGAATCCAACTCTTGACTTTCAGCCTCTCAATTTGTGACAGAGAAGCTTGTGGTTACTTCCTTTTGAATAATGCAATCGCACAGTTGAGAGGAAATGCCAGTTCCCCTGGAGGACATTTGGCACGTGGATCAGCCCTGCTTGTCCCGCCTGCAAGGAAATCATCATAACATGAAGGTGCTTGTTACGACATGGCCAAGTAGCCCTTCCAGGAATCTAACTTCAGAGGTGCCATTAGGGCTGGGTTACTGGGTGTAGGTCCAGATCTCCATAGAGCAGACAGCCCAAAATTCAGCATCATGCACAATTTTTATTCAGTTTATTCAGCACTGGGCAAGGGTCAGCTTAATAGATGCCTAGAGAATATTCACCTGGGGTGAGTGCAGTTTAGAAGTGTACCTACCTGCCCTCCAGAAAAGGCAGTGGTAAGCTGGCACGGTAGAAGGCAACTTGACAAGCTAACTTCATCACAGTGCTCCTAATTGCTTTGGCTTCAGTCTTTTTTCTGGATAGACTTGATGTGCTTCCAAGAAATTCACCAGCCTGCAGCTACCCGTCATTTTTATTTTCAAAGAATGCCTCTATTATCTATGCAGGGCTTAGGAAAGGTGGTGCACTCAGAATGTCAGGTGTCCAGAACACCACAGCGCTTTAGCAGAAATCTCAGGAAGAAGTGACAGTTCAGGAGTTTTTCTTTGCTCAAGCAGCTTCGCATCTTACTTATACTGAGAAGTTGAAAACAGCACCAGGTTAAATTAACCTCCAACCGCCTCTTCACAAGGGATGTGAGAAAGAGGAATAACGCCAAAGCAGGCCAGCTGTATTTGGTTTCATCATCTAGTGTTTATTTCAACAGTTCAAATATTTTCCCCACTCCCCCCGCCCCCCGCCACAATCAGGAAGAAAAAAAAACCTAGAATTAGCTAGATGTGCCCATTCCATTGATATCAAGCATGTCTTACCCCCAAAGTGGTCTCTGCAGATGGAGCAGCACAGCCATTCCTAACCCCACCCTGGAGTGCAGTGCCCGTCACCCCAGGGCACAGCTGAACAGGTAGAAGGGGCCAGGTTGCGGAAGCAGCTGGGGAGGGGCAGAGCTGGAATGGGAAAAGGCTGCTTGGCTGTGCACTAACGAAAGGCTTGGGGGAAGAGGAGGAGGGAAGGGCGGCCGACTTTTCACGCTTTCCACTCGCTCAAAGCTCGGTCCTATCAAGGTTAACGTTTAGCCAGGCAGCCCTGCTGAGAGAGGCTTTGCACATCCCTCTGTGCCTCTCTTTCCAATCCCTGAGCTGAACAAACGTCTGCTAAGCCGCAGGCTCCGAGTTCTTAAGGTTCTTCTCGCCAGAGCTGATTAGTGCTTGAGTTTAACGGGTGCTTTCGTTTTGTTATATGCGTTTGTGAATTATTTCCCCTGAAAACTGAATATATCCACTGTTTTATTCCCTCCAAATTTCCTGTGTCCTCAAACAATAAAAAGTGTATTGTCCTGAGCTTTCAGAAGGAAGGGTTTTTTTTTTACAAAT